TCTATACAAAATGACAAGGCAGCAAGGCTTGAATTAGCATAAATGGAAAATCCTATTGAAAAGTGTCAAACAACAGATTTTATATTTTCTTAGCATCCATATGGTACTAGTATCACCTCCACAAATTTCATGAATTTTGGACTCATACTTAATTTATGAAAATTCATGCAAGGATTAACTAGTCATAAAAGAAAAATCTATAACTTTAAATCTACCCATGCACTGGTCCTCAAATTTTTACCAGGGCTCACATATGCTAAGATTAGTTCACCACAAAAATTTCATAATTTTTGGAGCACAGGAACTCTAGATATAAAATAAACAAATTTGAATGCATTCAAAAGCACATTTGAAATCCCTATTTAAATCTCCAGGAATTTCTACTATTGGAACCAAGAACATATTTTGCTTAAATACTAGACTTCCTAAGGAACACAACCGTATTTATTTCAAAATTTTAGGAGCTACCAAACTGAAGATACAAAAATAACAAAACACACTTGAATCTGGAATTTTTGAACTAGCTTTCAAAAGCTAGTCATTGACCGGTGGGGACCTCTGGCGTCGATTGGACCCACACGTCATCGAGGCGGAAACAGCAGGCCGGCGGCGCTAACCTCACGGACGTGGCGAGCTCGTCGACGGCGAGGTTGCTTGCTTGGCGGTGAGGTCTTCACGACGTGATCTCGTGACCTAAGCGCATCTATTGAGCCACTTGGCCGCCCCTATCGTCGGCCAGTAAGGGCGGCGGCGGCGGCAATAAGCGGAGCGGCAAGCGGCGGGGCGGCGGCGTCGATATGCCGGCGACGACCTCGGCGGCTCAACCTAAGGTTCGGACGAGCACCGGGTACTACTGGCGGACCTAAGCGCATCGGCTATCATCATGGAAAGGTAGACTACGACGGCGTGGCCCACGATGACGGACCACGGCGGCGAGCTCCGGCAAAAAGCGTGTCTTGGCTCTTGCGCTTACCGAGCTTGAACAATGGGCAATGGGGAGCGTCGGGAGTTCTTTGGGGTGTCGGTGGTGCTATTGCGGTGGTGCTTGAGTGGCGGTAGCGAAGTGTCTTGCTGCTATGGCGACGGTGGAGCTCACGGGGCTTCTCGGCGCGCTTATGGAGCTCGCGACTGCCAGATGGCGAAGGAGGAGGGAAATGAAATATCGAAAGCTATTTGCTGGGCGTTGCGGCCGGTCTTTGGCGTGAAGAAGGCGCATTCGGCTGGCTTGGCGCCTTTAGGCGGCGCCGCCGGCGCGACAGCGCCGCGCATTCAGCGCCACGCTGGCGACCACGGCTGAACCGGTCGACCATTGAATCAGCCGATTCGGTTTAAATCGAACGTGATGGCCGAGCTGGACGACGAGATTTGCTTGCTGATTTTCCCGCTAATCCGTCGCTCCAAAGCATAAGACGTCTAAACGAAATCTATAACCCTATGTACCAGCTTCAATTGTTGTTCAATCACCTCGTGCTAAATCGCAACCTGAACAGACGGAGTAATCTCGTGCCCAACCTTGGTACATCGATCGGCCGATTGATTAAATACTTGAAAAATTTGTTAAGTGTTGAAAATCTGGATTTTGCTTTGGTTTTTGTGGGACCCATTCAAGCATGTTAGAAGCTAAATCAGTCAAAGACCCAAAAATCAAAGTTGTTCCTTATGTTAAACACTACAACTTTGCTTTAGTGAACTCCTCCATGCAAGGTCTCTAACACCTAGTTCAACTTTAGTCAAACATGTTACTTTGAAATCATGATACATATTCAAACCATGGCTAAATGACCAAACTAGCCTTAGCACTAAATACCAAAGTTGTTCCTAATGATATCCTAAGCATGTTTAAACAATTTGCCAGGTCATTTAAGCATTTCATGTAGTAGTCACTCATATAGCTATTGAAAGTAATCACATGAAATATCACTTAAGTGCTTGATCATGAAATGTGGCCTTCATGAACAATGTTTCTTTTGTTAACCTAAGTGTAGCTAAAGTGTTATAGTGACCAACATTACACACTAACATTTATTTGCACATGATCATATGCATATGTTCCAAGAAATACGAGATAACAAGCAATGATGCAGATGTTTCGATCGAATGTTTCAATTGTCAATGATGATTTATGAATGCTTGATGCTCATGCTTATGTTATGCAAGTCAAGTTATGCAAGGCTAACACCCGAGGTGTTACAATGCTCGCTCGCGCTCAACCTCAAATTATGTATTTGATTGTACCATATTAAATACGAGATTTTTTTATAGACATACCCTGGATTCAAATCCTAGGTCTACCACTGCTCATGTCGACGCCGGCCGACGTTGTTACCAAGCTCCCCTTCTTCGCACTGGCATCCATCTCTCTCCTTACTGGCGGCGCTACCTCTGACTTGATGGAGGAGGCGATATAATTTGAGCTCGAGCAACACATCTCCCACGATAGAGTAGATGGATCCCCAAACAGTACCGTTTTGGGCAAATCGGGTCTGTTCGGCTGCCAGTTTTTTTTTTGACAGCAACTGCTGCGGGTGGTTTTGTATACCACAACATACTATTGCTACAGTAAAAAAAAATCTGCAGCTGCATGGCTGTTATGGTTGAAATAAGCTGGCCTAAACAATTACTTGTAACACTAATTAATTAGGGCTTCCGCTTGCAGCCTGCTGGGAGAGCGAATAAGCTGATAAAGATGGTAATAATATAAATTAAAAAAACGAAGGTCCCTTGGCGCACAATCAACCGCGACAGGCTGCCTACGATAATATGGAGATATCGGTAGCGATTGACAGGGGAGCCCCACGTGCCTTTTCTCGAGTGTCGGAGGACAGCGACTGTTGTTGGGCTGGACCCACGTGATAGTCACTCCACGTATATGCATGCACAAGACGCTCTCTTTCTAACTCTCTGTGCTGATTAACATCATCCACTAATCAGCTCAATTCCGTTCTCTGATAGCCATAGGACCAGGAGAACTGGGCAGCTGGCGACCAGTGCGCCACAGGCCCACAGCCACGGGCACAGGAAACACACGAAGCTCCCGCGGGCCGCCCTCCTCGTGCTGTCACGCGCGACGGCAGGCTCGCAACCAGCGGCGGCGATCGATCGCCTTCGCCTGCCTGCGGCTGCAGAAAGTTTGGTAGCGCAGCGCGCATCCCAAGGCCGTCAGCTCGCCGCTGCATCCAGGCACCCACAGTCCACTCGGGGCGCATGCATGCCGCCCGGCCCCGCTGAAACGTGGGCGCAATCATAGAACCGGCAGTGTCAGCGTCCGCCAGCCTTTCCCGAGAGCGTCGAGCCGTCGACCAGCTTTTGCCGAGACCGTTGGCTGGAGCAGCCATCGGCCGGCATGAGGAGAGGACGTGCGCGGACCACGCAGCGGAGCGTAGGAGTAGCTGCGGAGCACGGGTGGGAGACGATCGAATTCGAAGCACACATCCATCCGGCCATCCCGAAGCCGAACTGCCGAAGAAGAGCGGAACTGCGGTCTGCGGAAGAGGCGAGCGGCGAGCCGAGTGGGGGCGGGGCGCAAGATGGCGCTCTGCACATGCCGGTGTCGCCACACTTTTCAGTGCTAGGAGACAACCGGAATATTGTCCAACCATGGCTTGTGCCCAAGGACCATGCCATGCATGCCCCCGCGGGCCAGCGCGCGAATGTGCGCCGCGTCCTCTCCTCGCCCCGGATCGGCACGGCAGCGCATTTACGCCCAGCCGCACTGTGCAGCGCCCGGGCTCCCTTTCTTCATCGCCTCTGCTCTGCTTGCTGGGTGTTTGTGTTTCTTTGGTCACCACTAACCACCCGGCCCTTGCTATTGACTGCGATGCGGTGCGCGGGCGGCGCATTGGTGGCCAGTGTTAAATCTGCGTGACATCGGACTCTAGTTGCCAGGACGAGCAAGTACGCCGCGGGCGGCGCGGCGATGGAAGGGAAGCGCCATCACTTTCGTTACGTTCTGTTCGGTTACCCGAGATCTACCGCGGCGGACTCTGAACCCTCTGGTACCTGCCTGACTGCCTGCTGCCGTCCGGCAGTCCCGACTCACCTAAAGAAAGCGCCGTTGCTTTCTGCTCCTCTACCGCGGCCGGCAGGCGGCAGGGACCGTCCGTCCCGGCAACTCGTGCTGTCGCAGTCACAAAGTCATCACAACCACCGCGGCCGGCCCGCCGGCACGCCAGTGTCACCCGCTCTCCCTCCCGGTGCCCGGACAATTGGACAATCCAAGCCGCGCGTGACCGATTCTTCCTTCCGTCCTGGGCTTCGGCCGGTTAGAGGTCCCGCCCGCTCCTTTGGGCCAAGCTCCCCCCATCTGTTCAGGCCTTCGGGGTCGCTTCAAGTCCACCGTCGGTTGGACGTTCAGCAGCTCCGCTTTGAATAGATCTGAGGGACTGGGCCGCCTGCCGCAGGAATCAGCCCATTTCCTGATACGGCGCCCTTTTCAGTTCCCGGGCTCATGTCCGCGCTTTTCAACTCAGAGCCACAACGCCGTCATGGCTGCTGCAGAACGTAGAAGAGGCTTTTTGCTCAAAAAAAAAAAAACTTAGAAGAGGCTTTGAAGCTGCGATGCCTGCCAGAGGAGGCTCGGCTTTAGGCCCAACTAAACCAAGAACACATCGTGATTGTGCAGCTGCAGCAGAGTGCCAGAGTAAGATAACTACAAACAGTTATTAAATTTTACTTTTCATTTTCTTCAGAGGCTACCTTTACTACAACCGCACCATGTTGTGCTGCTTATTGGTTCCAACTACACAATCGTCTATTCAACCACACTGCCCCGTCAGCCGTTAATATTTCTTTGTACAACAAAAATGGATATGGCTCTGTCGTCTTCGGGGAATCTACAACACACGCCTGAAGCAGCGAGGCACAGTAGCTAAAATTTTGCTGTAAGCTGGGATCACCAAAGTTCATGACGTTTTCAGTTAACAATGGAATCGTCAGCAGCAATTGTCCACTTCCCAGACTGGCAGCAGAGGCCCATCAGAAGCTAATGACATGCTCCCCCCTCACTTGTCCACCTTTCTACCTGTGACCATACAATCAAACAAACATTCACACATGATTAATGGATCAAGCAGGAGAAATGGAAAAGGGAAGAAAGGTATATACTAATTCCGAAACACAGTTACCTCTCCTGAACCATGATGTTCGAACAACTTGCCGGATATGGCGCTCGTTCTTCTGTAACAGTTCATCGACCTTGTGCGACTGGGACAACAAAGGGCCAGAGAATTCAACCTTCTCTTCTTGACCATGATCGCCCTGGAGTTTTGAATCGCACATTAGTAACAACTTTGATATAAAAGTAGAAACTCGTATCAAGTAAATGATGGACTCATCAACGCACCTTGAAGCTATTCTTTGATGAGAGAGTACCCCCAAGAAACATGGCGTTTGAGAAGTTCTGAGAGTGGTAAGTGTCGCAAGAATCAAATGAATCTGGACGCTCTAGCTGTGACCACTTCTTCAGTACTGCACGCTTTGCTGCATCATGAGGCTCCCGGTCTCGGACTTTGGAATTGACGCGTGATATTGATACGTGTATGTCTCTGCTAGGCAGCTCCCTAAGGCCAACATTCTCTTTAGCTTGGGTCTTACAGTCCTGATCGGCCAAAGCGGGGAACTGGCTTCTTGAGCTAGATCTGGTCCGTGATCTAGCAAAAGAACGATCCTCCTGTGGTCTTTTGGCCCATGCAAACCCACTAGATGAAGAAACACTCAATGGCCCGGAGAAAGGTATTTCCTCTCGTGATTCATTCTTAACATGACGAGCACTCTCTTTAACTTGAGCCGCTGACACTGGTTGTATGTCCGCAAATAGCCTAGCATCACCATTCAGTTTTGTACGATCCTGTACTGTACCATCTTTGTTTGCATTCACATTAGTTTTGGATTCCTGAAAGACGGAAGACAAGCATAAGACATTTGGTGAGTATTCTTATCATCAACTCAAGTATCACATAGCTTGGCCAAATTTCTCTGTTGATAACATTCAGTGAAGGTATCCAGCCATTATTAAAAAAATGATACCTCTGTGCTACTTATTATCTGCTTAGGGACTGCAATAGGTTCTCTTGCTGCTCTGCTGAGCCTTGAATACTTCTTGGATGCTTCTGTCCCGTGCCCTCTGCTACTAGCTTTTCTTCTGAAAAAAAAAGAAAAAGATAGAAATTAATGTCGTTGTTATTCACTATGGCAGTTGCCGGACAAAAAAAAAATCAACTTCCAGTCATTAAATTGTGTACTGGTAACAGTTTAAAGCCTTAAGCAGTGCTGGGAGCTGCTCGGCAAAAGGTGAGTTTTTTCAAATTGTGAAACACATGTTCAGAAGCAAGAATAAATGACAGAACCTAAGTTTCTGGCTTCCTTTTCTGCAATAAAATGATTCCAAATTTAAAAATTCCCACCTGAGTGCATCCTCTCGTAACTTTGCATCCATCTCCTTGTTGGGCGCATACTTAGGCAAGCTCGAAGGTTCACACGCATAAGGTTTTGTCCTGAAAAACTGCACAAAAAAGGGGAATATATCACACATTATCATGACAGGTGCGATTCATAATTTACACTATGGACAAAGAGGACTAATTTTGGCAGTGCTAAACCAAATGATTTCTTGCCCCATGTTAATACCATGTAAAAAATCGGAAGCGCCAAGCTAAATATAAGTTGCACTAACACTAATATTTTGCACTGCCCTTGAAGATTTAGCTTATGATAATACAATCCGGGCGATCTACAATATCCTGATGGCTTGAATATCTGTTCATGTGCTTGATTTTTTTTTCAAACTATGAGTGAATAATTATTTCAATGATGCATAACAGAAGAAAGGGCGGCAGAAGAACAGAATCAGCAAATTTTTACAAACTAACAACTTAAATATCCCAATTTCCAAAGGTCCAACATACTACTCCCTCCATCCCAAATTATTAGTCGTTCTGGCTTTTCTAGATACATGACTTTTATTACGTATCTAACCTATATCTAGACGCATAGCGAAAACAATGTACCTACAAAAGCCAAAACGACTAATAATTTGGAACAGAGGAGTATTTTTTTCCCCAAACCTCCCCATCCAATACAAAATGGGATTAATGGATATCACATGATGCAATCTTACCTCAGAAGAAAGAGCACCTGATGCAGTACCACGCTTGTAGGGCTCCACCGACAGAAGGGTTTCTAGTAAACTCAATGCATTTTCTGGTAGCCCTTTAAAAACATCTCGTAGGGCACTAGTATATGGATGATGTGGTTTAAATATTGTTGCATGAGGCAACTTCGACTTCTTCCAATAATCATCAGCTGGTGAACCACATAGCTTAAAAATCTTGTGTAGTTGTTCCACCTGAAAAAATGAAAGGGATTCTATATCATATTACATACATCAAGCAAATCAGAATTTTGACCTTCTGGCAGACTAAAGTGGGAAAGTTCAAAAAGAAAATAGAAGAAAATGAGACATGTGCTTCTAGTGAATTGGGATTGGAGGAACACAGCATCTAAACAGTTTGTTAACCAGAACCCCAAAAGATATGAAGAATCAGGCAGATCAGCAGATGCACCGCAATTAACTATTAATTGATGTAACCAAATAGTTACCTCGGTTCTTCCCTGCAGGATAGGTTTCCCACGATACATCTCGGCAAATACACACCCAACACTCCACAGATCAACAGCTGCATCATAGTGAGTTGAACCAAGTAGCAGTTCAGGTGGTCGGTACCACAGAGTAACAACACGGCTGGTCAGAGGATGGTTTTTGCTGGGATCAAAGAAATTTGCAAGACCAAAATCAGCTATCTTTAGAACCCCCTCGTTATTCACGAGGAGATTAGCACCCTTGATATCACGATGAACCACACGTCGCGAATGGCAATGCTCCAGTCCTGACAGTAACTGGTTCATGTAGCACTTGAGCTGCAGTAGGTGACAATCAGAGGAAAAAGTCAGGCCGACAGTGTAAATTCAAAGCTAAATTGAATGAAGGCAGCGAATGTAGTTGAACATACCTGTGCTTCAGTGAATTTAATGTCCGGGGAGGAGCAAAGTCCAGCAAGATCATGCTCCATGTATTCAAATACTAGATAAAGGCTGCATGATAACCGGGAAGTAATCAAGCCTTCCAGTTTCATGACATTTGGATGATCAAGTCTTCTCAATATTTGTATCTCCCTTGCCATGAATCTAACACTCTCTGGCTCAAAATTGTCAAATCGAACCTTCTTCAAGGCAACGATCTTTCCAGTCTCAAGGTCCCTTGCCCTGAATACACTGCTGTATGTGCCTTGCCCAACCTACATATAGGGTGCAACAAAGAAACAAGTCTGGGTCACGCAGCAAACATATGTGCAGTAATGCACGGGCTTCATTACCCTTGTTGCAGACATAAAACTAGCACAATAGCAGTACTACTTTGCTTCATTACCATTCTTAATAAAAAAATCAACTTTTCCTTTTGAGTATGATGACAGACAAGAAACAGTAAGAGATCAAATTCCCGATCAGCAGCGCATACCAACAACGGAGACGGCTAAAACATGTGATGCCTCATAGAAGGAAACACCAGATCACCCAAGTCACCTCCTTTACCTTCACAACAGGTGGCTGTTATACTAGTTTATTCTTCATGTCATAATCCATCACCCAACAGAGTATTACTACTAACTAACGCGTGATAAAGGATACCAGAAAGATACCAACCAGTTAGACCAAATTACAGTCCCAACAACCACCATCCTTCTAAAATTCCACATGCAAGCAAAATTTTGTCATGGAAAATGACCCACGAGCTATTGAATTGAACCAGTCACGAAATCTGAACCGAAATGAATCACCTAGGAAACCTCAGCCGAAAGCTCCACAGTACCTTCTCCAGCTTCTCGAAGGAGTCGGCCTTGAGCGGGATCCACCCCTGGATGGCCTCCCCGGCGACGGCGCTGAGCCACGGCGGCCACCCGGCAGCCACCTGCTCACCCTCAAGGCTCTTCCGCAGGCTCCGCAGCCGGAAGCTCCGGGACGCGGCCGGCACGGCGACGACGGCCTTCCCTGGCTCCTCCGCTTCGTCCTTGACCTTCTCCGACCTCCTCGCCGAGGACGACGAGCTGCGCAGCGAAGACACGGGCACCGGCAACGGCACCGGAGCAGCAGACTCCTGTGCGCGCGGCTGGCTCCGGTCCCTGAGCCCGCCGGACGAGTCGGCCGCCGGCGTCACCGAGACGGCGTTCTTGGACGCGACGCAGCCCATGGCAGCGGCGGCGCACTACGAGCACCACCAAGCGCCACCAACCATACGCCGAGGTCGCGCACGGACACGGACCAAGATCGGCGCGTGATCTTCACGAGTCGGCTCCTTCTCCGCTCCCGAGGTCCTTCTCCCTCACACCGGCATTGGGCTGAGAGCCGGCCGCGGTGTTAAGAATCAAGAACAGAAAGCTTGACTGACCCCTTCCGCCCGCCAACCACAGGCGTCACGGGTCGAACACGGCACAAGTCAAGAACACGCCGGGAGGCCCGGGTGGGATTGACCTGGAAGACTAATCAATGATTCGATTAAGACGCGACGCGAACCATCACGAAAAAAAAAGCAGGGCGAGACTTTGTTGACACCACTGACCGCACTCCCCCGTCGACGGAGACCACGACGGCGACGCTTCCCCGTGATCGCGAGGCGTGGTCGGGCGTGGCGGAGAGGCAGGCAGGGGTTATCGAGCGGGCGGACGCACGGAGCACCCGTTGCGCCGAGGGGAAAAGGCACGGCCTTTCCGCGACCGCGGCCGCTGCGCGGGGACGGATCACGAAACCGCCAGAATTACCGGCTGCGAAGGCGAAGCCCAGCCCAGAACTTGGGCAAGGATGACGGCGCGGCAGCCAAGAACGGCGAAACCGCCCTGCCGCGCCACCGGAACTGAAAAAAAGGAAGGCGCCGAAATTGGCCGGAGAAACGGCAGCAAGTGGGAGAACTCGATCAGGGGGAAGGGGAGGGGAGTGGGGCGAGCTCGCAGTCGCAGGTGGGGTGGGGAATCGAGCGCGGGGCTTAAAAGGTCCACGCCACGGGCCGCGGGCGCGGGAGTGATGAGATTTTCCGCGCACGCTTCTCTTTTGGGAGGAGTCGCCGCTGCGCCTTTGATGAGCGCAAGTGCCTTTGCGCAGCGCAGGGGAGAGGCCGGGAGCGGGAGGGGACTCGGCAAGGCAAGGCGCCGCGCCCCTGCTGTTCTTGTAGCGAGATTAACGGGGGCGTAGGACCCCTTCCTTGCCAGCTTTTGGCTGTGTTCGGCTGGTAAAGATGGGCCGGCTGGATCACTTTTTTTCCAGCCGAACACGCTCTTTGATTTTATACGGAACTTTTCAGGTTGGTCCCCTGGAATTTCCAGGTATTCGGGCGTACTGAATTCGCGTTGCACTGCACCGGTAATAACCCCGTACCTGTACCTCCAAGTGGGTACTGTGCGGTACGTAGCGGTTCCCGGACGGCCACACAGGCACCATACGGACTGGGCCCGGTCCGTTGGAATGCCAGCCTCTCCCGCACACGATTTCCGTTGAAACCAAACCGTTTCTCGTTTCATGTCAAAATTGCTACTACTACCACGTAGGACGTACGGAGTACGTTACGAACTAGTACCACGACCGGCCGCTGAAACCGAAGAGGATGGCGCGCCGCTTAAATTAGTGGGGGAGAAAACAGCACCAGTCACAGCTTAGCCGTCGTAAAGATGTGGCCCTTCCAAAAGCGTACCACCAGCACGGCAGATCAAAGCCGCCCCTGCCGGTCGAGGGCCGCCGGGACAGCGCGAGTTAGCCAGCTCACTTCGCGTCTCGAGCACGCCCCGTGGCCCGTGCTCCTCGCTCCGTTTTCCCCTGTTTTCCCGATCCCCACACCGGGAACGCCCTGGTTCACGGTCCCCGCCGCCGTCGCTTTCCTCGTTTCTCCTCTGCTTTCTCCGCGGCGTGGCAAAAGAAGAGGGCGAGGAGAGCCAGGTGGCCGGGTGCTGCCTCTCCTCGGCCGACGGATCCTACGCCCTGTTCGCTCCACTCATAGGCGGTATTTTTTCAGCTAACAAATAATATTTTTTTAACAACAAATCAGTCAACGATATTTTCAGTCATGGCTTATCAGCCTTAACATGGCACTAGTCCGCGTCTCCGTCCCCCACGCCGGCCCCGCCTGCCTGGGCGCCGCGGTGGTGTGAAGGGGACTGGACGCGCCGACGAGCCACGCGCAGGCCCGGCCCTGGGGGGTTTGAGCTAGGCCGCCGCACTGGGCCCTCAAGGCCAGGGGGGCCAACCCCAAATAGGTAAGTAGTAGTAGTATTTGGCCTATAGGAACAGGGGGAAGGAGAACCATGCGTACGACTGTACGAGATAGGACTCCGCGTTGCCTTCCACGTCCGCGACTCCCGTCCCGTGCCCTTCCGCCGCGCGGCCGCTACTCTGTTCCTGCGCGAGTGCCGAGTGAGCGACTCCCGTGCGCGGTGCGTCTTGGCGATCTTCGCGAATCGCGACTCCGGGCGAGGGCGAGCGGCCGGCGGCACTCTGTCTGTTCCTGCTGGTTTTCATATACGGAGCCACGGAGGTAAGAAACTAGCCCTTGCCCTAAGCGGCCAAGCCCCCTTAATCACCCCAATCTTTATTCTTTATACTTCTTTAGATTTCAGGTTTAGGAATCCCATATGGTGTAGCAATCATGTTGAATTTAGTATGGCATGTTTTTTTTAATTGCTTACTACTTGTCTGAATATACAGTGAAGTCATGTTGCCAAAAAAACATTCATCTCGAAGTGAGAAAAGAAAAAAGAAGAGAAAGATAGAGGCCTTGAAAGAATCACAAAAGGGATCTATTCATAAATTTTTTAAGAGCAATACAAGCACTATAAGAAATTCAGATGAATGGGCAATAGTTGCTGTGGAGGATCAAACTGCGCAACAAGATGATCAAAGCCGTATAGAAGATAATGTTGGCATCGACACGGATGATAATAATGTGAGTGACCATGAGCCCATATTTAATTCTCGTACGACGGAATCTACTCATGTTGATGAAGAACCAGTTTTTACTATTGATATGTATGATCCAGTAAATTGGGACAATCTTGATAACAAAGCAAGGGGCATATTAGTGGAGAAGGGGCCTATTAGAGAAGAAAATATTGTGTTTCCAATGGATGCCAGATCAAGACGTTTTGCATACACTCATTATTTTAGAAAAATGGGCAATGGCGAGGTACGTGATAGGAAATGGTTGGTCTATTCAAAAAGTGTTGACAAAGTGTTTTGCTTTTGTTGTAAGTTGTTTGGTTCTAGTAACCGCAAGAGTTCATTGGGGCATGATGGCTTTAGAGATTGGAGCCATGTTAGTGAAAGACTAAAAGAGCATGAAGTTAGCGTGGATCATATGACCAACATGAACTCTTGGAATGAATTGAGAGTTAGATTAAGCAAACATGAAACAATTGACAAGGAGTTGCAACATCAAATCACAAAGGAGAAATAACACATAAGGCTAGTTCTACTAAGAATTATTGCCATTGTAAAGTTTCTTGGTAAACGCAGTTTAGCTTTTAGAGGATCTAGTGAGCAACTTTACAATGATGTGAATGGTAATTTCTTATCTTGTTGTGAGATGGTTGCTGAATTTAACTTGGTAATGCAAGACCACCTTAGACGCATTCAAAACAAAGAGCTACAATATCATTATCTTAGTCATAAAATTTAGAATGAGTTGATTTCACTTATGGCTTCTAGAATTACAAGCTCCATCATAAAGATTGTTAAAGAGGCCAAATATTTCTCAGTTATTCTTGATTATACCCCAGATGTGAGTCACCAAGAACGAATGAGCTTGTTGGTTCGATGTGTTGATATGTCTGATGAGAAAATAAAAATTGGGGAGTACTTTCTTGTTTTCTTGAAGGTGGATGACACATCTGGTGAGGGGCTTTTCAATGTATTAGTTGACTCCATCAAATCATTTGGCCTTAATGTTGATGATATTAGAGGTCAAGGTTATGACAATGGCTCTAATATGAAAGGAAAACATAAGGGGTACAAAGTCGTTTGCGTGAAATAAATCGAAGGGCTTTGTATATGCCATGTGCATGCCACAGTCTTAATCTCACTCTTTGTGATATGGCTAAATCATGCAGTAAAGCTATTTCATTCTTTGGAATTGTGCAGAGGATATATGTATTATTTTCAGGTTCTACCAAAAGATGGAATGTTTTGCTTGAACATGTTCCAGATTTGACCGTGAAATCATTAAGCAATACTCCTTGGGAGAGTCGCATCAAAAGTGTCCGAGCAATTAGATATCAAGCTCCTCAGCTAAGGTCAGCTTTGTTGTGGCTAAGTGAGGATGGATATACTGAACCAAAGGATAGAAGTGATGCAAAAAATTTATATGACGTGCTTGGCAGCTTTGAGTTCATACTTGGGCTCCGTTCGGCTGGCAGAATCTTGGTTGAAACTGGCTAGTTGTGTGTGAGAGAAATATTGTTTGGCTGAATGGATGAACAGTGTTTTGTGAGAGCAACCAGCCGGCTGGTCTGGTTTTAGCGAACGGCGCCTTGGTATGGTTATTTGGCATGACATTTTATACTCTGTAAATATTGTCAGTAAGAGGTTGCAATCACCATCCATGTGCGTTGATTCTACCTTGCAGCATATAGAAGGTATGGTGAATTATTTTCAGAACTACATAAATACTGGGTTTGCTGATAGTGTGGTTGCTGCCACAGAAATAGCACTTGAAATGGGAGTAGAGGCATCATTTCTAGTAAAGCGTCGTTCTGTTAGGAATAAACAATTTGATGAAACTGAATGCAATGAAGCTATCTTGCAAGTTGAGAAGGATTTTGAAACTTTTTATTTTTTGGTTATGGTTGATATGGCAATTAGTTCATTGGAAAGCAAATTTAAAGAACTACAGTCATTCAATGAAAAATTCGGATTTCTAATGAGTTCAACGTCCTTGAAGGCAATGGATGGTGCTGATCTAAAAGACCATTGCATTAAATTTACAAAAACTTTCTCTTCAGATGGTTCATCGGATGTTGATGTAAATGACATGATTTTTGAGTTAGCTGTTATGCAGTCTACTCTGCCAGATAAGCCAATATCTGCTATGGAGATTTTTGAGTTTGTCACATAAGCGGATTGTTATCCTAATATTTCTATTGCTTATCGGATCATATTCACTATGCCTGTGATTGTGGCCTCAGCTGAAAGAACATTTTCAAAGCTGAAATT